AGGGAGAGAGAGAGAGAGAGAGAGAGAGAGAGAGAGAGAGAGAGAGAGAGAGAGAGAGAGAGAGAGAGAGAGAGAGAGAGAGACAGACAGACAGACAGAGGCAGCCGGAGACAGCCAGAGACAGAAAGAGAGGGAGAGGGAGAGAGAAATGCGAAACGGACAAAGAAGAACATAGCTAACCTCCGACCAAAATGTTGCGCGTGCACAGATTGAAACGTCAAACCAGACAGCAGCTCTGCACAACCTTTCCCGGCCAATACCAACCTGTCGGCATTACCCGGGTTCGAAGTGCATGATTGGTGGTAGAGCTCGACGACAACTGTGTGTGCTCCAACGAACCCTTGCGTCGGCCACCATTGACTCTGAACTTCGTCACAGTATGCCTTCAGGATCTAAAAACAAGCAATCACTCAGCAGCCGGGACGAAGGTGCGATCCCCAAGCACACGAAAGATCGGCGAAAGAAAGGCCGCAAAGGCCGCCGTGCCGAAGTGTCTTGAGCCGGGCACGGCCGTGATACTCATTGGGCTGTGGATAAGTCGAAGGTCGGAGCTACGCCCCTAGACTACTGTAGATCCACATTCATCCAATTCAAACATCTCGGAGAGTAGGGCACACTGTGATAGGCCGGCAACTGATACTGACGGAAAGATAGAGAATAACGTTAAATGAGAGAGCTCTGTGAGTAGTGCGTCACAGTTCACACCCCACCCTGAAGAATTATTTTTGGCCGTGCACTTAGGTCGTAACCTTGTGTGTACTCCCCTTGCCCTCCGATGCCGCCACCGTTACATACGTTCCACGTTCTCGCCCCAACATTTTAGGTACGATGTTTGTGGAGGATCTCGTTTCCCGGGTTGATGCCACCATTGGTTCGAGTCCAGTCGCCGAAGGACGAGGCCCGGCCACTCTCCCGTCGGAAAGCGAGCAGCACATCCGGGATATCGTGGACAAGATTGCGTCCCGCAACCTCAACCACGGTGGTGGCAGGAAAGCGACTGGAGGGGCCTGGCTACGTGAGAGCAATTGTATTGTTTCTGCTGTAGTAGTAGTGAAGCGAATATTACAAAAAAACGTTGTGGAAGATCTCTCGAAGATATTTGTCAACAAATCCATTGCTTACTTCCACTGTAGTGTATCTGTATTGCTGTAGAATCCGATCTTCTTGTAAACAAAAGCATAAACAAAAACATAAACGTAAAAAATATACGTTACCATGAGGAGCCGAGAAGAGCGAAAGCAGCTCCAGCATTATCTATCACTGCCCTCCTCGGTTTTTGCTGGTGTAAGCGTCCTGCCCTTTCGTTCACCGACCTACCCTCTAATTTTATCTGTTACAATATCGCTTGCATCATCCAATAAACTTGCCAACGTCTACTTCTGCAGATGAGGAGGACAAGGTTTTGCGAGTAATCGTGGTCCGAGACGGTGAGGGGGGGTGGAAAGGAAAGGCCCGTGAGCTCAACTCCTCGATGGCTGCCCTGCACCAGAAGCTCACACTCAAGGCGACCGCGCGGGGCGAGTCTCCCGTGGTGTACGGCAGGAATGCGGCCCAATGTCTGCACAGGTACCTCTTGAGCGTGACGGAGAAGAAGGCGAAGCTGATTGGATGTTCCCTTGGTATGTATGTGTTGCCAAGACTCCCTGCTAAAAAAGTAGATGGACTATACTTACTCTTGGTGTAGGAGGTAGACTATATCTTGCAGCTCCAACGGCTGTACCTTAACCTCGAAGAAGTAGGGAAGGCGGGCACCTTAGAGGAATCTTCTGTGTGACCCCGGATTGGACCTCTTCGATAGCTGGGACAAGGTCGTGAGGTAGACCAAAAGGCAGTGTATATTAGTAAATAACACATCAACAAGAAGGCCCTGATTACTTCAAGCAACAGTTTCTGTAGAGACGCGTCTATATCTAAAAGAAAGCCGAGGTGCATGCAGCAATTCTGTAGAGATGAATTTTCAATCCAATTCCCTTATAAATAAAACTCCTTTCCTTTTCTCGACTTACTGTATTGCTTCGCCGTTCGTGTGGGTACGCCCTTGCCCGCTGTTCGTATTCGTTCGACTGGTTTCCTCTCGTGGTTTCCGGGGGGCGGGAAGGTTTTAGCCAGGGCAGGAAACAACAAGAGAAGTGCATGACTTCCTCCCGGCTTGACACGTCGATGATCTCCACCTGCAGAACGTATTGTTTCTCGAGACTTCGCGTCGACTTGGGCCGTCTTGTGATTTTGTTGACCAAACGTTTCCTGGGGTAACATGAACGTGTTGTGTATATGTGCGGATAGCGCCAATTTCTGAAACTCCCCAGAATGTGTCTCCGGACAACGAACGCATATCGACATTGAAAGGTGGAAGAAGGTCCTGGAGCCCGGCGTGATGAAAGGCCACTGGACGCCATCCGAGGACGCTGCTTTGGTTGACGCGGTACAATCCGTCATGGCACTTCCAGAGGTAGATGTGATCCAATGCCAGATTTTGCCCTTGCAACCCGCCCAATCCAAGTCTCGTCGTTAATAAAACCACAGCACATGCGACATGCTTCTGTGATGCGACCCGCATCATCGGGCGCTTAAGATTTCCAATAGTGAAAATGGAAAAATGTTTTTTCATTTTATTGTGTATCCGTGCTCTCTGTCCGGCTGCGCCCTCATGTCTCCCACGTCTCTCGTTCGATCTTGTTTAATGCCGGGCACACACGCCACCCACTAGAGCATGAAGTGGAGTAACATTGCCTCGTACATTCCCGGGAGGATGGGCAAGCAGTGCCGTGAACGCTGGTTCAACCATCTCAGCCCGACACTGAAGAAGGCTCCATGGACAAGCCAGGAGGAAGACGTACTATTTCACGCGCAGGTCAGAAAGCTGGAGTGAACAGCGTTGTTAGATGGCGATTTGTTTCGTTTCAATGAAACGCATAGTGGGGTGTTGCGTGCTACCTAGTACATGACGTATTACAGTGATCCTGACAAACTCAAACTCAGTATTGTTTTGAATTCCTTTATACTTTCTCCGGTACGGAAACACGGACAAGACATCTTGGACTTTCGTGAGGTGAATCGATGAACATCTATTGTGCAATAATTGGTTCGGGAAAAGCCTGTATGTCACGGGTACTTAAGGAGAATGAAATCCGACGCGCTCAATCGCGGCCCTTGTCTCGAGTATCAACATGAAAAAAGCGCTCAAGCTCGCTTTCCACTGCCATACCACTATTATTTCTATCGCTTTCCTAATATCACAGAAATTCTTCGGCCCTCGCTGGTGTGAGATCTCCCGGTGCGTCTTTCCTGGAAGAACGGCGAACGACATCAAGAACCGCTTCAACTCCAGTGCGCGAGGCAGGTGGCTCAAGTCAGGAAATGCGGAAGTCAGCATGCAGACGTCGAACCTCTTTGTCCAGAGGCTCAAGGCTTCGGCGAAGAATCTTGACGATGCCAAGCAGTCGAAGAGGAAAAATGCCGCTACGCACAAGGTAAAAAGTTTGTTAAATTACCGCCAAGCTTGACTAGTTATCATTTCCTGCGTTCAGGACGAGGGTCTACTGCAGAGCCTTTGCGCCACAGGACACCGGCCACGGAATATAAAACTAAATACGTAATGCCTCGACAGTAGCAACACCGAGAAGATCAATCGCGTGATTCATTCGAAAGGCTCACGCCTGGCTCCCCTGGTCACCTTCAATGAGAGTTTCTTTATTTTTATTGGGTTTGGCTGCGTCGACGAAGGGACCTCGGGTGCGGTCATCTCGGACTTCCTCTAGCGTCTCCTTGGAGAGGCCGAAGCGAGCGAAACACCACCACCCTGTGTCGGCCAAGGCAGCTCGGGTGCGGTCACGTGCGACGTCCTCTACCGTCTCCTTCGAGAGGCAGAAGAAGCGGGGAAAGCACCACCGCTCCAAGTGAGTGTGTGGGTGGGATCTCGACATGACCATGCCCTGCCAAAACTCTCAACGTCTCGTTGCCTGTGGATGAGTGGCAAGCATTCGGCCATGGTTCGCCTGCAGTAGCACCCTACACTACAACCGTTTGGGCATTTAGGAAATAAAATGGCCGATGCCCCTGCTCTGGATTATCAATCTGCAAGTCCCGTGTGCGTGGGAGAGCTGAGCACGGCAAGCTGTACCACTAGAAACTCGGGTTGTAGGTCGCAAGGTTCAGTAGTTACAAAGCGTGGAGAACGGCTGAGGTTTGTTTTCTACATGTAGTCCGTTTATACTACCACGTCTCTGACCACATGTTGACCGTATCCGAGGTGATTGAATACGCAGCGCAAATGTACTTACCACGTCTCAGTGCATGCGTATTTATTGGACGAGGAATTCACTGCCCATCCCACGGGGGAATTTAATCCAGACCATGATCCGTTTCCTTAGATTACTGAAACCATTCACTCTCCTCGTCGACCTGCCCTACCGTCTTTCACTCACTTCCTTTACATAACTGACAATGTCTACGTATAGCGGCCCTGGAATTACTGTGACCCAGAGTGGCACTAGCATCCACTGGAAGAAGGCTTTCCTACGGCTGTGGCTGATGGAACAACGGTGAGGCCCCACCATTGCGCCACACAGCTGGCCAATACGATATTCTACGATCAATACACACCGAAATGGAACCAACGCTCTAATTTTCCTTGTTCCTGTGCTGTTATGACATGCGGGCGTAGAGCCGTTGTGTGTCTCAGGTACATGGGTTTCTGTCGTTTGGTTTCTGAAGTCAACATATGGCTGGGGATTGTTGACCCTGACAAAAATTCCGAGTGAGTTTTCACGGCGATATTGCCGTCCAGGTTCACACTCCACGGGTTTCTGCCCAGAGCGAGGCGCTAGGTGCTTCAAAGATTGTCTCGTAATCCCCGGTACTCTCTCACGTCAGTCAGGGTTTTGAATGTCACCCGCAGAAGATACTTCCAAGAAATTATTGGCCGCAGGATGAGGTGGTTTCGCAAAAATACTCTCACGTCAGTCAGTTTTTTTTTTTTTTCTTAATATGACACAGCGAATCCATCTCTATCATAGAAAGAGTCTGAGACAGATTAGCAATGAATTCATAGCGTCAGAAAGTACCTGTATGTCTACGATTTCCCAGACAGCATACAATTGTATAGGGACATCTCCCCTGCGGGTAACAGGCTCAACAAGACAGTTTGGTAGCTGTCTTGTGTGTCTCATATATATATGTTATGTTGGGAAGGTGCGGAGGATATGTGTTAGGTACTGGTCGGGCGTTTTGTGTGTGGCACCCTTTTAGTCGTAGGGCATGCAATCTCCCTCAGTTTTCAAACGTATTTCCAATGTGGTACGCGTATGTAGGGTATGTATATGTGTGGGCACATTTCGGAGTATGTGCAGACACACAGGATAGGAGTGGTCTCACCATTTTCTGACCTTTTTGTGTAATTTCGTGTTGTTAGATGTGCAAAATGGCACGGGAGAACATTATTTCATCATTGCCTCCTGACGTGGTCGCCAATAGAGGCGTGTGGTTGAGGTTTCATCACCGACATGTGGGTGTGTGTTAAATGCAGTGGGTATGGTTACCTATCTCGCCCTTGTGTAGGCAGAAAGTATGGCTACCTCTCCCATCAGTAGGCAGCGTGGACCACAAGTAAATACATACTATACAGGGTCGATCATTTCATGTAAGCTACATCATTTGTATTTAGCATGAGAGGAATAAAAGGTTGTTCTAGTTTGTAAGCAATTTGACGGTTTATGGGCAGGGGGAGTACTCCCTGTGTCCGTGTTGCACCCAGGTGTTGGTTTTGAATGTCACTCGCAGCAGATACTTCCAAGAAATTATTGGCCGCAGGATGAGGTGGTTTTGCAAAAATACACTCTCCAAACGTTGCGATGCACTTTCTTCAATCTCCGGTCGTTCCCGTATAACGTTAATGATACACCTTCTTCGTCCCTGCAAGCAGCACCAGCACCAGCACCATCAGCACCGGCAGCACCAGCACCACTAAATTCATCCGGAGCAACTCACTTCACTGGAAGAAGGCTTGCCTGCACGTATGGAAGAGGGATGAAGGCGAGCTTCCAAATTCCTGACCAATCAATGCGTCCGTCCGTTGATTTTCATGTCTGTCGCCAATCAAAGCAGAGGAAAACACTTAAGCCTATATTCGCCTACGAACAAACTGAGTGCCTGTTCCATCAAAAATATTGTGTCAGCCTCTCTCATATCGCCAATATGTACCTCATTTGGGATGCCCATGCACGACGTGCTGTTTCACCAAAATGATCCCATTTAGCTGGAACAAGGATGGATGCGGTCCAAGCAACCTCGGTCCTGCCCCTATTCATTTCCTCTACGCTGCCTTAATTCTTCCTGCTTCGTTTTTATCGCGTGCACACACCTCCCACAGGCCAAGTCCAAGGGGCCCGCGTTATGACCTCGCGTTGGTGGTAGAGGCGCCCACGGTATACTCTCTGAACAACTTCGGAGTGTTTTACCACGTGCGAACGGCACCGCACAACAACCAACCTGGCTTGTGGAGAACCCTACTGTTGTGATGGAGAATAGGTAAAGTCGGAACAGATCATAGCCATTGAAACTGCGAAATGCGGAAGGTTCATCATGAGCGCCGGTGCCTCACCGCACACCCTGCGGTGGACGAGAATTTGTTGAGACGTGGTGCTTGAGAAGTGACTATATCTCCTGGTTGTGTTTTCATTGTAAACGATGCGTATACTGCATGGTTTATTGTGTATGGCTTTTTTGACGACTTAGACTGGTGATATCGCTCACTTGGTTGAGTTTACTTGGGTTGTAAGTTTAGAGTCGGCAGGAGACACGACCCCCACTACTCTGTGGAGACCTCTCACACAGTTGTTCATTGAGTGGCGCGCAATCTTTCATTGGAGTGCAAGAATGGGCGGTGGGGGACACGTCGTGGCGCCAGAAGACCCACCGATGAATCACGGAGTTTCTTCGTGGCAGTTTTCTGTTGATTGTTTGGATATGCATGAACGGTCTCCTAGCCCGTTTGGCAGAACACGTTGCCGAGCGAATGAGAGAGAGAGAAAGAGAGAGAGAGAGAGAGAGAGAGAGAGAGAGAGAGAGAGAGAGAGAGAGAGCCCAACATCGTACATCCACATCGGCGGCATTCGCAACACGCGTCGGCATTTTTTGGGTATCACAAGTGATCCCGCAAGCAAGGTTTTGTGAACTAGATGCTTCAATCGAAGAGCCACGTTGGATTCAGGCATTTCGAGTGGAACTTCAAAAAATCAAAGTGATTATTGTGTTTGTTGAGACAAAACCACCCCAACGTCTTCAACCAAGGCCCCTCTGATGGTCCGATCCGACTTGTTAGGAGTCAATAAGCTCGCTGAGAGGCATGTTGACAACGGCCGAGACCAAAGGCGAAGGCCCGGAAGGGCTGAGCACCAGTATTCTCACGGAACCCGCGGCCCCGCCTTCGTCTATGTTGGTAATGGCGATCTCGTGGCGGGAAGAGACGCCCTGCGTTGCAAGTGGAAAGGGGTTGGACATACAAACAGTTCAGATTTCCTGTATCGGAATGTGGTATTGACGCGCTGTGTATTCGTAACGAACAACAGAGTCGACAACGTTCATTGAGCACGTTTCTATTTCGGAGGCCTTGGGCGCGTGCTGTAGCCCACAATTAGGATTGGCAAGAAAAAGCCCCCCAAACGGATCCCGGATCGAGTCAATACCGACGGGCGGTACCCCGTTGAACAAGCACGGGTCGAACAGCAGAGCAAGATCACTCATTCAAGCGCAAGCTCACCGGAATCAACGCGGACACCATGAACTGGCCCTTTTCCATAGCGTAGATGTCTCGGTCATACGTGAACGCCACGGGGAGGTTTGTAAGCGCCCGGTCCCCCTGGTTCTGAAGCTCCAGCTTTATCTTGAAATTCGGGCCCTTGAAGCGAAGCAGGGTGAGAAGGTCAGGGGGGGCGGGGGACGACTTGAGTACAAATTTCGTTGTGCTCCGAGGATGAAACGCATCAACCACAGGCTGCCACAGTAGTACATCATGTCTTCTGCCTTAGAGACGTGTAGAAATCGTGCACGCGCTATGTATAGCCCTCATAACTGTGCTCTCAACAGCTGTGCATGGCCTATCGATTTTACCATCCACGCGGAGACACTGCACACGTGACAATTTCCCTAAAATCTCAGCGCTTCCGTTCACAAGCGGGTAGACTTTCGGGATTGACTCCTAAACTGCCCGCCGACGCCGTTCCCTCGGTTGTGTGGCTCAAACGCCCAAAGCCTCTTCTACCAGTCAGTCCCCTCACCAGCCCTTGGCACTGCGCGTGCAGCCTTAACGATGCCGCCGCCCCGACCGCGCTGACTCCCTGCCGGCCGTCCGTGATGGTCTTAACGTACGCCCGGGCGGCGGTGAGCCTGAGGAGGCAGAGGTCCTTCTGGAACGCCCGGTGGATCTCCCCGGCCTGAAGCTTCGCGCGCTGCGTCTGCTCCACGTACAGCTTGGTCTTCTTCGGGACCTGCGTTGTTTTTTGTGCCACGGCGGCGTTTGTGTGGGTCGTCGGGTAGGCGGGGGACCCACGCGTCCTCGCGATCGAGGTGATGGGTAGGGTTCTCTGCGGTAGGTTTCATGCTTACCATAGACAGAGCTTTTTCCCACGGAGCAATATACCATGTGCTAGACCCCACCAACTCTGTCGGCTCTCCGTGGCAGCACCGCTCACGATACTACGCAATGCGCGACAAAATACAACGCAATGAGAAAAGGACTCAGAACCTTGAGCGGGATGTCCTGTTCCGGTGGATAGCCAGCCGTTGCCGCCCCGAACGTTTTGGGCTTCCTCAGATCAGCCTTGCGATTCAGCATGAATATCGTCAACTTCCCTGCGCATGCCGGCAAACAGGGGGTGACCGCGACGACGACATGGTATCAAAGAAAGGAAAGTATTTCTGCCATCACATTTGTGTGGGCGCGAAAACAATGAAGGGTTCATTGTTTGAGGGGGCCACGATCAGGTCGTTGATGTTCGAGACACGGCACAGAGCACCAGAGCAATCCCAACAACGCGATTGTTGTCGACGCTGGCCTTCTCCTTCGCACGGTGCATGGAGTAGCCGCTTGTAACAGATGACATCGCGAGTAAATACAGATGCTGGGGCAGACAAGCCCTGTACATTTCTTCCCGTCATCTCCAACAACCTCATCACGGGGAAGCGACGGCGGCAACCTATGAAGAGGAATCAAGTACCCCAACCAGGGTCCCCATTTACAGACACTCGTGCAAGCACGCGTACAGCATGCGAAGTTGTACCGACAGTTGATGTCGTACCAGTTACGGACACGACGGCGAGTGCGCCGTCTTCTCTGGCGTAGGGTCCAAATCGCAGAGCCGCTATCGGCTCCTGCGTCTTGAGTGTGTGCAGCAGGTTCTTCTCGGCATCGTACAGGCGAACGTTGCCGTCCGCCAGGGCTACCAAGAGGCACGTGGTCGACCTTGTGTGAACGTTTCGGGTTGCATCATCCTCGAGAATTTCAGACGACGGCGGTAGCACTATCAACAGTAACGACGACGACGACTACCAAAACACCACCACCAACAACAACAACAACAACAACAACAACCTCACATCTTCTTCGTGGTTGGCGCCTGGACTACATCTTATTTTGGAAATTTTGGACAATATATAGTGAACACACCGAGAGCCCAATCTACAGTACACCGGGACCGTCTACCGGTCCTGCGCGAGTGCTTTTAGTTGGCCGAATGGTTCCAATTTTCACATTTGGACTTGTCCTGGCTGGAAGCACCACACCTGGTCTCCATCGCTTCCAGCTGGACCACGAGGGCCGGCATCTTGAGAGAGAAATCCCTCCGCCCTTTGAGGTGGTAGGCATGGAGGTTGTTGTCCGTAGTTGCGGCGTAAACCTACCACCCGGCGCCATGGAGTATGTGAGGGATGGAGGGAGAGGGAGATGTTATAGCAGCCTTTGGGGGGATGACGTGCACAGCTCGCACAGGCCAACGGCTATTTTCTTGCCGTGGTTGAGGAGATAGAACCGATAGTGTTATGCATGCAACAGCAGCGTCGGGACGTACGTGTGGGTGGCGGAGGAGTCCTCCCGTGGCGATGATCAAGTCACCCTATCGAGAGGCTTGCCGGCAACACCGCGCGCGGGGCTTCGCAAGAGGCCAAGAACGCTTGCCGGAGCTTGTGCAAGCTACACGGCACCTACCTGTCTTGGGAGTCTTGCGAGGCCGCAGGGCGTTGCCTCCAGGCTGATGACAGTACCGGTAACCACGGCCGTTTTCGCCACATCGCCGTCCTGGGCGAGACACACGTCAGCGAGACGAATTGGGTAAGGTTACCAGTCGCTGGACTAGTACAATAGTGTTGCGTTCGTCGTCGTAGCTGCATTGTTCTTGGCATACGTTCTACTTTACTCCAATTGAGACAGCCGTGAGAGCGAAATTTTCGCGGACAACAGTTCGGAGGTATTCCAGGAAGAATGGGGTTGTAGAGTATCCTCCATCCAGCAAATGGGTTGGGAGCACTACTCGAGACGGCATGTCACGCGCGCCTGCTCTGGATCTTGCTTGTCAAAGTCTTAGACGAAACGCCTCGGAGCCCCCGACCCAATCACATCAGATGCGCCCTCCTCGCGATGACTTGGAGATCCCGGTTCAGCATGCCGGAACGGACCACCGTCACACCCGTCTAGACCCTGTTTGACACCAGGGAACTTGCCGTTTGTGCTCTAGATCGCGTCTGAGTCGCTGGCGTTCATCCTGAAGCTTCGCGTCCGTGGCTGCGGCAACGAATGAGTACACGGTAGCAGTAGGCGGTTACATGTAGACCGCTATTCGCTACCAAACGCACTACTGGACATGCGGGCGCACCTTGACGGTATAGATGCGCCCGTTTCTGCAGGCCACGGCTAGCCTCCAATCCGAGTCAAACAGGCCTCCCACGGCCAGAAACGCCGGCACCGCGCCCCGTGGTAGCTGGGCCGTCGTCAAGACTTTGCCTGTGCTCGCGAGAGAGAAAGAGTGACAGGGGGAGGGGGCGGAGAGCGCGGGTGGAGAGGAGAGAGAAGAAAAGGGATCTCGTTCGCCTTGCAACTTAAGAGTGACAAGGTCTTCTAAATATTGCGGTTTGTACGATCTCGGTCGACCTTCCCACCTCCTCCGCTCTTCCACATCATGTAGAACAAACGCTTCTTGCATGGTGGTATTAACCCTTCTTTTGCATATCTACCAAGTTATCGACGTGGTAGTTGTAGTGCGTTCTGTACTCAAGACACGACCCACTCTCACGTGGCCAGGGAAATTTGTCTCACAGGGTGGATCGAGGAAGACTATCTGCCCATCCTCTGTTCCGGCCAGAAGGCACACCGGCGACCCCTCCTCTTCTCTCGCCCTGTCGTCCCCCGTAGCACGGGGAAAACGCCGAGGAGTTAGAGCGCGGTTGACTACACGAAAACTCGAAACAAAGGTGATTCAACCAACCGTATGCTAACCACAGCTGTCGAGATAGGAACAGAGGAAGGGATGAGGGCTTGGGGGTGGCTGGCAAACACGAGGGTTAATGGTAGGATGCGAGGTCGAAAGATGGTATCGAAATATATACGGTATCTGGACGCTGGTCCAACGATCACCGCTGCCGTTCTTTCTATCTCGCGAAACCAGTGAGACTTTGTCTATCCCTCCCCCCCCACCCCCCCCCCTGGTGTTTGCCATCGGGGCTGGGTTTTCGTCGCTTGGCAACGACGTTGTAAAACAAGCCGCCCCCCCCGATGTTTGCCATCGGGGTTGGGTTTTCGTCGCTTGGCAACGACGTTGTAAAACAAGCCCCCCCCTCGGTGTTTGCCATCGGGATTGGGTTTTCGTCACTTGGCAACGACGTTGTAAAAGAAGCCAATTCACTTCGTGAACTCGGCAACCAGGTTACCGTTTTTTTTTTACCTCTGTTTTTTTTTTTTGGTGGTAACCATAATGGTGGTCGAGTAGATCATGTTGTGCGGGGTGGAGAAACCTCACTCCGCGCAAGGGGGATGATCGCACCACGTTGTGTTAAAATGGTCAAGCATCCTCGAGGCAGTTACACACTGCTTACAACTGTCTCTGGAAGTGAAAGCACCAGAAAATAAATTAAGTCATACGCAGCTGTCATCCGTACGCAAGGAAGTAAGCACAAGATGCCGAACACCCTTAGCAGGATGCAGCTCACCCTTCATGCGACTCGCCGAATACCTCACGGCGCTTCGCGCTTGGTGATGTGAGAGCCTGGTCCGGTGAGAACCCGGCGTGCTCCGCCCCGGCTTTGTAGGGATGCGAGGTCAATGGTCTAACGACTACGGCATGCACGACTATGAGTACACCCCCCCCCCCCCTCCCCTCTCCTCCTCCCCCTCCTCCACGCCCTTCTCCCTCCCTCTCCCTCTCTGTTTCTCCTACTTGGCGTCCATGAACCACAACGCAAAGTGGTCGGAGATACTTCTTGGTACTTTCATTCCGAGGGGTTTCAAAACAATGTGCAGTCGTCACTCTCTCTCGTGGCATGTCAAATCATACCTACCTATTCATTGTCGCAAGGCATGTGATGATCGTCGTGCGCGACAGGGGCTCGCTTGCCCCCCTCGCAGACAGAAAGCTCCCACGGTCTTCGAGGTCGGGCGCCAAGAAGTCCGTCGACAACGGGCCAAGTCGCACCCCGTCCTCTGTCGCCTTCGTTCCAGATCAGATCGGATCAGATCGGTTTGGGGCGCCTTAAACGTCGCAACTTCAGGGGGGCTGGGACAATTACTGCGCCGTGGTGTGCTCCGATCCCCGTGTCTTTGATGCTTCTTACCCATAATCATGCAGACACAAAACAGACGCAGAGGGAATGCACGTCCCAACCCCCTACGCTCTCTCTAGGTCGGTCGCTGTGGGGTTGGAGTTGGAGCTACAAGCTCGGTGTGTGATGCCATGTCTCTGCTGCTGCTGCAAATGATGGTGATTGTCCTATTTGGCTCAAACCCTAGCACTGCTAAACTTCTCCCTTTTGTTGGCTCTCGGCATGTGCCAGTACTTGGTCGTGCACGTCCTCTGACGTGCTGAGGAGTGATAGACAAACACACATTGCCACCATCGCTAGGCTAACTCTTGGTTCGCTACGGCGATACTATGCATCCACTCATATACCCCTGCTCTCAGCACAGAGGACAAGCGACAGGCCATCGATGGGAGGAGAAAGCAGCAGAATAACAGATCAACTTTGATGGGACTAGGGATATACATGCTCTTGCGTAAACACTTTTATGTTGGGAAAGGAATTCTTGAAGGGAGAAAGTCTCAAGAAAAATACTCTTCGTGGAGAGTCCGTTCGATGGCTGCTGAGCGTCTGGCGTTTCAAAAGAAAAATCAATGCGCAGACAAAATGTATTGCATATTGTTCTCGAAACACGGGGTGTGGCTTGCGGATGTACCTTAGCGAGAAGAGCCTTGAGCGTGTCCGCATCTACCTCACCCTTCCGGTATCTTGTCCAAATCTCCAACTCCTCGTCAGACGGCTCGACTAGCGGGGCCGTGAACTTGAAGTACGGTCGCAGATTCCTTCCTCGAACAAGCAGAGAGGACGACCGCAGCTTTCAATATTTTATATGTACGCGGTGAGTGACGAGAAAGCCTCTACGTGGCCAAGATCGTAACACCCCAGGCAGTCTATCAGTCACTAATCCAAAAGAGTCTCGAAAAATCATCTTCCGGTCGGTGGTGTGTTACAATGCTGCCTTCCCAGAGCGGTGAATGGGGCTGTACGGGGACGTCGTAGGGAAATGGGGCCAATAACGGGTACGTTGTTTTACTCCCGCATTCATTTCTCCGTCGCTCACTTGTAAATGAAGATGTACGGTCCGGCCGCTACCGCCACCGCGGGCCTTTCGCCTCCCGCCGTGTTGGTGTTGTCCTCCACCCCGTAGAACGCGCAGAGGCCCGACGGTTCGTCCAACAGGGGGTGCTCGGCGAAGATGCTTGTTCCTTGATAAACCTTTAGGGGTCACACGCAAAATTACGTGTCTTCTCTGCATGTGTACGTGGCATTTATTCGTTAAACCTGGTGGTGGTAGCAAGCACCGGACTCGTTTCTCTCCTGCCTTGATGGTGGTTGATAACACTGCTACCGTCTCCGAGCGAAAAAATACAAGGAAAAACTTTGGATTAACTCTCGCTCGGGTGGTGAACGGGGGTGGTCCTCTTGTTCACCGATGGGTTGTCTTTGGCATCGTCGGCATTACAGACGACAGGAAAACCTGCTTCCACCAGTACACATCCACGGTTCCGATCACATGCTGCCGGTCGGCGTATTTTCACTTTGTACATTTTATAAAATCGTTCGTCCAACAGGGTGCGAACCTCCTCCTATGACGATGTTGTCACCAACGAAATGCTGTTCCTAAAAGATTCCAATCATTCACATGAATGCACAGCAACCCGGCACCCTTTCCCTCACCTTTAGAGACATAGCCCTGCAGGCCACTACAATCTTGTAGTCTCCGTTCCTGCTGAGATCCATGAACTATTCGAAGGCCAGGCACCAAGAGGTAGGGGCCATTTCACGGCAGCAGGCAAAACAATGGGCGGATCAGCACGAACACCAAATGTAGGCGTAGAGACGACGAGCGAGATTATTATTATTGTTGTTGTTGCTGCTGAGCCGTGCTGCTGCTGCTGCTGCTGCTGCTGCTGCTGCTGCTATTGCTGTCCTTGGGCTTGTTGTTGCCGTTGCCAGTGCTATAGTCGTCGTTTTCCCGTAAAAAAGTGTGTTTCCAGTCTCTACTCATACCCGCTCACACCGGCCGGTCAACTATCGCAGACTCTTTCCTGCAGCAAGTTTTCACTTTCTAAGGAACGAACGGCACTTTCCAAGGAAAAGGCTGCCGAAACCAGCGAGAAACGTTGGAAGCAATCGAGCTCGTGTACGAAACACGCGTTTGATGACCGCATACGATAAAGTATGTTGCCTGTGTGTGCATCTCACCTGCATGCATCCGCCGTTGCATGTGAGGCCCGCCACCGGATCATGCCATGCCGCCAACCAAGGGCCCAAGCGCCCCTTTTCAGGTAACGGATCCTCGACTTGGGCTGCACCGGCCAAGATGCTAGACATTGTCGCTAAACAAGTGTTGTGGATGTTAACGTGCAAGGAACAGGGTTTATGGGTACTGTTGTACAAGGCGGCGGCGACGCAGAGCGACAAGAGGGTGAGAAAGGCGGAGGATGTAGTAGTCTATGTGCAGTCAGTCCGTAATCTTGTCGTGTTGCCTCTCGAGTCCTGCTGTATTCTGTAGTAGTACAATATGTTGTTGTGCAGGGTGGTTCTCGGTTGCGGACAGTAGCTGCCCACTCTCCTACCTGCGGTGCCCTCCGCTCTCGCCTCCCCTCCTCCTCTCCCGATATCTTTCGGCTTTGAGGCTCGTTGGAATGCACGGTTCTCCGGAGATTGTACAAAGATCGGGGGGAGACGTGGATGCAAATGGGTGGAGGCTCCGTGATTGTAATCCATCCAAACCGCGTGTTGGGCGGGCTGTGCGCGGCTGTCGCAACTCAGCTGACTGCCCTCCTTAGCCGCAAGAAGTAGACACCATGACAGATACAACAACGCCACCACCGCCGCCTCCACCTAAGGAGGCGGAAGATGCTTCCAAGGGGCAAGAAAACGGAGGGGAAGAGGAGAACGAGGAAGACGTAGCGATGCCACCAGCACCCGCTCCGCCAGCAGCCTCGGCTGCTGCCGCAGCACCTGCCGCTACGGTGGCTGCGGTTGCTGTTGCTGCGCCCGCACAGACTGGGGGAGGGAAGAGATCTCCGAGCGACTTCCTGAAGACTGTGCTGGGGCGTCCTGTGGTGGTGAAGCTGAACTCGGGGATAGATTACAGGGGTGAGAGAGAGGGGTGGTGGGTTGTGCTGTTGCTGCTGCTGCTGCTGCTGCTGCTGCTGCATCGCTGCTGTTGGCACCAAGATATCAAACGCTTGATTGTTGTAGACCCCTCCGCAAGAGGCTGATGTTATTGCATCTCGAATTGGTTGTGCTATTCTGCGACTGCTTCTAGCATATGGATCTTGCATGAAGAGGACGTGAAGGCTTGGAGCTGTTAGCTGGGGCAATCGTAATGTCCCTGAAATATTTGGGTCTCCCGTCTGTAATTCGTACCATTCCACATGGTTGTGGTTTGAAATGGAACCAAACAGACTCCGTGGGCAGGTGCATGCCGTGCACCAACCATGGTACTACGGAACAGTTACGGCTACAGCAGCCATGTATGACACCAGGCGACACGCCCATCGTTTCGTTTGTTACAATTATCGATTGCATCATCGGCCTTTGCTCTTTTTGCATGTAAGGACCATATGGGTGGCGTGTCCCGTCGTGTATTGTAGACACGGGCGGCCAAATAGCTGGTACAACAAACCGACAACGCAACCAAACCCGTGGGACCGCTTCGCGGTGTCTGCATGGGTCTGTCGCCTGTTACCCCGCTGTTGCGACTAGATTTGTCTGTTCAGCCGCTGTAGCGAACGCACCCGCCGTCAAGGGCACGAAAGGTGTTGAGA